CTTCCAGAACGGTGAGGAAATAAATTTTCTGTGTGAGCTCCTATCCTGTGGTGTTTTGTTGTGTCTGTCCTACAAAATAAGACTTGGCGGACAGTGGGCACCATTTACTGATGACTGTATGAGTAGACCTGGGAGACAGCAAGTAGAGATGCCCGTTGGCTGCTGACTACGTGTCCTGGCAGAATGACCAGGGATAGATGTGGGTGTTACAAATAGAAGTGGAACCATGGGAGTGAATCATATAACCTACAGAGAATGTATAAAAGTAAAATTAGGTCACAGTGGAACCCCAGCAAACACCTCTAACTGGACTCTGAAGGGAGAGATGCCCCCGAAGAAATTTTAGAATAAACATAGAAACACATGGAAAATCTGGAGAGATTTGGGCCATGAAAACTAAGAGGAACACTTGAAGTGTGCTCCACAGTGCCAAGTGCAACATCAGCATCAAGCCAGGTAAGGACCGGAAAGGTTCACTCAACGGTCTCCTTGACAAGAAACCGTGAGCTAGTGGGTGGCAGTAGAAGCCGTGAGACAAGAGAATTTAGGTGTGAATGAGGGAGGAAGTGGAGACAGAAAAGGTGGGCAGCTCTCAAGAAGCTTGTTTTCTGAAGAAAAAAGGTGGCTGGAAAGGGACATGAAGATCAGGGAGGGTCCCCTTAGCACATAAAACTCTTCCTCACCCACAGCCATTAGAGGGCAAAGACGCCCAAGTGAAATCCCTGGGGGAGAAGAGGTGAGGCAGGTCGATGCCGCACAGGTGGACGGTCACGCTCACCAGGAGGGATGCCTTGTCCCACGGTGAGAACAAAGGAGGCAAGGATGGGTGCCGGTGACTCTGCAGGCGGGAGACACTATGAAGTGGAGAAATAGTCACACCCTGCGAGTGCAAGGAGTGGGGTAACCTGCCCTTAGAGAAGGGCAAGACGTTGTGACAGCTGCGGGGAGTGAGTGCGAGCCGACTAGGGACAGCTGATGGGATGGCCCGGCAGCTCTGAGGAGCAGGTAAAGTGACAGACAACACACGGGTAGTGGCGCCACGCTGGCAGCCTGTGACCTCGCCAGCAGCCGGATGAGGGGCTGCATGAGGCCCCGCTCTTTCTAGATTTCCCGCGTTTCCCTGCCTATTCTAAAATCCCTTCCGGGGCATCTCTTCCTGCAGGCGCAGCTGGAGGTGTTTGCTGGGTTCCACTGTGACCTTCCACGTATTCTCCACAGATCATGAGAGTCACTCCCATGGTTCCACTCATTTCCTATGACTCAAACGTTTGGAAAGGTGAACCCACACTTGGACGAATCCACAGTGGGGTTTGGCAGGCAAAAGGCAACGTGAGGACGGGCATGGGTGGCCGGAAGAAGAGTTGAGCTGCCTCTCACCTTTGCTCTCCCCATCACTTACCTCCTTGAGGGCGCCATCCTTAACCAAGGACAGCGGGGCTCACCCCTGACATACCAACGTTCCCTTTTTATACTGCCCGCAGCATGTCGACACCTCCTTTACTGCTATGAGGTCGTCATAGGTGACCAAGCTAACAGACAGAAGTTTAAAAGGTCAATTTAATGCCTTCAAGGTAATGTAAAGGAGACATTAAGTGATGTTTATATGTAATAAAAAGTACATTTCACTCTGTAAATCTCAAGCATAACTACAAGAAAAGATTTAGCCTTGGCCAGTGTGGCTCAGTTGGCTGGAGTTTTATCACGTAAACTGGAAGGTCGTCTCCAGTTCAATTCTCAGTCAGGGCACACATCTAAGTTGCAGGTTCGGTCCCCGGTTGGGGTGTGCATAAGAGGCAACCAGTCGATGTTTCTCTCTCACATTGAGGTTTCCCTCCCTCTTTCTTTCCCTCCTCCCCTCTAAAAAAAGGAAAACAGGAAAGATTTAATGAAGTAGCCTGGTGCTCACAGCTGTACAGAGTCCCCAGAAATACAGAGGTGCAATCGCAGGCTGAGTGAAACAGGTTGGGCTGGAGACTCAGATCCCTAAGGACTGTGAAAGTCCTCCAGGTCCAATGAAAACCAGCTAAGTGCTGAGTTAAAAAATAGTTCACGTTTCAAGCTGTTAAGAATAATGACTCTAAGTACAAGAATTGGAACAGAATTGGAATCAGAATTTCAGGTGACCCAGCGCATCAGAGATGAAGAGCAAGCATATAAAATTATCGCAAGCTATTTATCATCTTAGCTTCTTTGGTCCTCACCCTACTTCCTATGACTCAGAAGTTTCCAGCAAGAATCCTACCACCAATGGTGGTCCTCTCAGCCTTGGAACACAAGCATGGCCTGTACTGAGGGCGTTGACCACCTCCCTAAATGTTACCCAAGTAGGAACCATAATGCCTCTCATCTGGATGAACAGTGAAAACCAAAGAGGACTTCGGGAAGCAGACAGCTTAGGGTTCAAGGGGGCTCGGGCCAGCCCACAGGCACTACTACCAAGTTAATTGTATTCAATACTATATACATATTTTCAAATAGGCAGGTCGTGAGTCCCAGGCATCCTGTAAAGTAGGCGTCTCCTTCAAGGCCATCTTTACCTGCTCAAAAATTCGTCCCACATTCAGGCATCACTCCCTATTGTCATTTCCCGTACTCGTAAGTTTAAGGCCTCTTTAATACTGTTTAATTCTCTGATCCCCGTTGACAAGGACGCCCCTTCGGAACAGTGTTTGCACGTAAACACCTTGCTAAACCCCACTGACACAGCACGACGGATGGGAAACCGCAGAGCCCAGGGCCAGGCCTCCAGCCCGAATCCCAACAGAGCAAAGAACATTCCAGCCGTTCCCACAATTCCCGGGGCCCCGCCCTGTACTCCCGACCTCCTGTAAGTGGCTGGGCGGGCCTGGGAAGCCGGGGCTGGGCGGGCTGCGTGTGGGTTAAAAGCAAGATGAGCCCTCAGAGGCACAAGCAGGGCACCCAGGGCGGGGCGCAGGCTCCGCGTCACAGTGTTACACAGGAAGGGTGGCAGGACATGCACGTCAGCAGACGCAGGCGTCTTCACCCTGCCACTTGTCGTGGGGCACCGGGAATCCCGCACGTGTGCAGTGAGGATGACCGCACGTGTACTTCCGCTCACCACCCTCAGGAGGCGCTCCGGGTGCAAGGGATTCCATCACTTATTGTCCACGAGGCCACTTTGTAGAGCACTTCACAAACACGTTCTTATGATTGCCACTCTGTTTTGAAGGAATCAGCCGAACTGTGGAGATGAACCTTAAAGCTCCTCCGGGCCGTGGGACAAATAACCACACGTTCCACACCAGTCAAGCCACACATGCCCCATCCGCCCCGCGGTGGAAAGCCAAGGACGAAGGACTTGCGGATAGTGCGCCTGACCTCGTGCCTGAAACGATGGCGTTTCGGCCCACGGGGGACAGCTCGCAGGGCAGCGGGCTCACAGGGCTCCAACGGAGCGGCAATTCCTATTGCCTGGTGGCAGTGTGGCTGTCACAGCATCCGAGTGCTTTCTGAAAAGAGCGACGCCTCCTCCAGAAGAGCCTCAGGCACGGCCTTCAGGTGTCTCAGAAGTCACTGTTGTCCCAGAGATGACAGCTCCACTTCCATTACTGCCCCCGAAGACCTTCCAGTGGGAGGGGACACGGATGTGGGGGACAGCGATGCTGACAATCCTGACCCTGTGTGGGCCTGGGCTGATTTGTGTGTTTGTGTCTTAGTTTTTAACAAAAGTTTAAAGAGTCAAAGAAAAATAAAACATTAACGAAAACATACTATAGAATAAAGAAAATATTTTAGTACAGTTGTACAGTGTTATTACAAAAGAGCCAAGAAGTTTTTAAAAATTTGTTACTAAAAAGTTACAGTACGCTAAGGTTAATTTGATTAAAGAAAGTTTCTGCACGCGGGCGCAGCCTGGCGCACAGCGCATGCGCTGGCCGCAGCCGGGCCGACGCTGCGCTGGGCCGCCACCCTGGCTCGCGCCGCTGGCTCCCTCAGGGCGGCCTCCGGCCTGCAGGCTCCGCCCGAGGGAAATGTCCCACACAGGCGCACCGCCGCCGTTTCCTTTCACACCTGATTTCCACCACACCTCTTCGATGTCTGCATTATCAGCACAGTACCGTGCCGTGCAGTCTCGAAGCCCAGCAGCGACCGCCCCACACGGCCTGCGTGAGCGGCAGGCTGGAGCGCCCCCCTCTACCCGCACCCCCACCCCGCGCGGTGTAAGCGACTCTACGGTGCTCGCAGAGCGCCGAAATCGCCTAACCAGTATTTCTCAGGACTTGTTTCATTGTTTAAGCAAACACAAGGCTGTAATTACAGGAAAGCCTATAAGGCTGGGAGGTATTTTTGAGAAATAGTGTTTCAAAAAATTCCCCCAAAACGTGCCCCACCAAGTATCACCAAAAAAGGCTCGGTGCGGGCGTCGGGTGGGGACAGGCCCCCTCCCCCAGGCCTTCTCTGAGACAGCAGAATGAAGTCCCAGTGAGGATGTGGGGTGCAGGGGGTACTAGATTTATTTAACGGGGCCCCTTCTCCAGGGAGCATCTGCCCGGGCATTTGTGAAACATACTTTGGGAATTGGCCTCTCCCGGGGGACATGTTATATGGTGTATGGGCACACGAGTCAGCTTAAAGGGCGAACGAGAATAACCCGTCCCCATCAGGTCAACGGCGGGCAGCTGCCCGGCGCGCTGGGGGAGGAGGAGGTGCGCGCTTCCCTGCAGCCCCTCCTCCCAAGGCCCTCCGGGTCCACCGGCTCGCAACCCTGCACGCCAGTCACGCACAGCAAATCTACACTTTTATTTTTTGTTCTAGAATGTGCTTTTCCCCCCCTCAATGAACCTTAGTATTAGCCCAGACCTCCACTTCCCCTTAAAAAAAACACACGCACATACAGCCACGCCACCCTCCGACCAGGTGACAGTCCCCCGGCGAGTAGCCTGCCACAAACATGGACACGAGGGGGAAAAGGCATGTTGAAATGTATTAGAATCAGAACCTGTACAAAAAAAAAAAAAAAAATCAAAATATAACCCGAAACGGTTCAAGTTCAGAAAGGCTAGTCAAGTCCTTTCCTCTTGCCAGGAGAACGCCATCATCAGAGGGCTCTGGGTCATTGGCCAAGGAGGGTGGAACGCAAGAGACAGAAGCAGCCAGCAGGTCCTTCCCCAAGGAGAGGGGCCTCGGCACCACCGTCCCAGCACGGACGCAGCCGGGAGTGATTAAAGGTCTTGGGCGAGCACGTGCGGGTGGACAGCCGCAGCGGGCAGCCCGGGCTTTCTCACCGAGGCCGGTCTGAGGAGGCAGAGGCGGCAGAGGACGCCACGCTGAAGAGGCTCCTGCCATCACGCAGGCCCACAGCACCCGCCACTGGTGCTCAGATAGCAGATGTCAGTCAACCCAGTGCTCCCAACTAGAGAGAGACTAGAGCTGGGCCTAGGAGGCTGGAGACCCGCAGGTTTAGTAAACACAGCCCAGCATCACGCCCTCCCCGCCTGGTCCGATCGGCACTGCCCACCAGGGCGAGGCAGGAGGGGAGGACAAAGCCTCTGGCTTCCTGGTGACAGAGAGCCTGCCCCATGTGGGTTCTGTGGTCCGTGGGGCTGGAGGGAGCCCCTCCTCACTCAGAGAGGGGACCCCTTCTTCGTCATCCCTGTGGGCCAGATAAAGCTGCCTCTGGCTATGACCAGCCTGACAAAATGACATGGAGCAAAAAAAAACAAAACAAAAAAACAACAAAAACACACACACACACACAGAGGAAAAAAACGCAGGAGGGAGACAAGCCCTTGAACAGAGACAAGAGCCTCCGGGAGGGCGGCTGGGCAGTGTCCGGCCCTGCTGGGTGGCATCAGTGGAGCCCCTGAGTCTGAAGGGAACAGCTGGGGAAGGCGGGAGCGGGCGAGAGAAAGGACATAACGGTTCTTCTGGAACAGTACCAACAGGGGAGGGACGCTGGTGCGGGGTGGGCAGGTCTGGAACTCACTGAAGGTAGAGAGAGGAGGAAACAGGCCCTTGGTGTCCCCTCCCCAGCTGCCCCAGGCCCGGTGAGTGCCAGCTGCCCCAGCCGGCCCTAGTGGCGGCTGGAGACCAGGCCTTTCACTTTGGACATCTTCTTGGTGGGCTGCCGCTGCTCAGCATGAGGGGGACACTCCCGTTCGGCCAGCTGTTGCTCCATCTCCTGAGCTGAGGAGGATGCGGTGGCTTTGAGAGTCTTCTTGATGTTGGTAACCTGGAGGGAGACACAGAATTTGTGTGCTCAGTCTGTAAGCACCGGAAACCCACCGAAATGCATTCTCGTCACAATAGGGGCCACGAGGGAAGAAGCCAGAATCCTCTGCAGGAAAACCTGAAGTTATCCTCAGAAACCCAGGTGAGGAGAAACAAGCAGGGGCTACTCGTGGAAGACACGTGGCAATGAGTCAAACAGAAAAGTGGACCTAACGTGTGCATGGTTGGAAGGGAAAGGCCACGTGGAAGTGGACCATTTGGCAAAGAGGTGTGACACCAAAGGTGAAAGAAAGCAGTGACTAGAATGGCCTTGGAAAAAGAAAGGCAGCCCTGGCCGGGCCGCTAAGTGGGTTAGAACGTTGCCCCGATGCACCAAGGTTGTGGGTTCGATCCGTGGTCAGGGCATGTACTAGAACCAACCAATCAATGAGTGCATTAATAAGTGGAACCGCAAATCAGTGTTTCTCTCTTCTCTTTCTCTTTCTCAAGTAAATAAATAATTACAAAAGAAAAAGAATGACCAAGAATTCTAGACTCAGCTGACTGATGTTGTTCATATATGACACCAAGTATTTTCACAAGCTCCGTAAGTCCTTCCTGAATAAACAATTAGAGAATGAACTTCAGCCAAATAAGTGATAATGAAAATGTAGTAAAAAAAAAAAAAAAAAAATTGCACAATGCCATCACACTACTGTTTTCAGAACGCCTTTCTTCACTTAACAAAGGAGGGGCTCCAACATATTTAGGCAACTCTTGAACACTGTCCCACATCAGAACACACGTTCTCTGTAACATCTGTGTACTATTCCACTATGAATGCACTACAATCTTCAAATTAGCTCCCAGCTTGTTTTCACCGTGTACAGAGACCCTATGACGACCTTCTATGTTTACCTTTGCATACTTTTGGGAACATCTGTGGAGGACATATTCCCAGAAGTGAGCTTTCAGATCAAAGAGTTTGCGCATTTTACAGTTTAATAACTCTTGCTATATTGCCTTCTGAAAAGTGATTGTACCACCCTCATACCTGTTTATACACATTCCCCAACACCAGTTCTAACGGATCTTTGATGCTTTTGCCCTTTAGCTAGCTGAGAGGAAGAAAAGCAGAAGAGGAAGTATTAGGATTTTTTTTAAATCATTAGAAGAAAGATTGCCCCAGCTGGTGTGGCTCAGTGGACTGAGTGCCAGCCTGTAAACCACAGGGTCGCTGGTGTGACTCCCAGTCAGGGCACATGCCTGGGATGCGTGGGCCAGGCCCCTAGTAGTAACCATACATTGATGTTTCTCTTTTTCTCTCCCCCACCCTCTGTCTAAAAATAAATAAATAAAATCTTAAAAAAAAAAGAAGAAAAAGAAAGGCAGTACAGAGTAAGGCAGCATGGGCTCACTGTGAGAAAGCAAGGGGGACTCCACGTGCTCTGGGAAGCAGGCTTGGTTTCGTACAGAGGGAGAAGGGAGTTGTCAGGGTCAGAAGTTCTCAGCAGAGAATCGGGAGCCTGAGTAACAGATAGTACAAATGCTGAGCGGAAACAGTGCTGTGAGAGCAGGACAAAAACTTACATGCCTGGGGGAGATCTATCACCTACAGACTAAGCCTCAACTAGACTGGAGGTCATTTTTTAATTTTGATTTTTGTTGCTGTTTTGAGATACAGGAACAGCCATGCCGCAAACTGCTGTCACATCCATCAACACCAGAACCTTCTGAGAGGAGCAGAGGGGACCGTAGGCTGCGATGGTGAAAACCGAGGGCTGCCTAGTCAAGCCTGGGTTTCCCAGGGTGTCCTGCCAGGCCAAGGGGTGCCGTCTCGGACCTCCCCACAGTGGCTCACTGCCGCCTGGGATGTCTTGTTCAGGAGTGACTTGGTGAGACGGAGAAGAAAATCTGGAGCAAGTGGATGGCTTGACACTCTTTCTCTTATAAAAGATATAATTGTTTTTGTATGTTTTATTCCAAGGCATATTCTGATACCCTTGGAGAAGAGATTAAGAAATGTGATTTCTCAGTTACTGCTTTTATTTTTTACTTAGTAAGAATTTATTTGCATATATGCTACCCTGTGTTAGTTATACAAACAAGTGGCAAATCTCTAGTTCATATTAATATTTTAGTTATAAACCAATAATAAACAAAAAGTACTGTTAAGTGAAAAAGGATTTATGTGTAACCTCAATCTATATAATATTATATTTAATAATAGATATTCACAAGACTTAGAACTTAGAATGTAGGTAAATAAATGGATTAAAATAAGACAGAACTGAAGTCATGGCTAATTCCACTAACCATTTTCCACTCTATATTTGCATATAAAACAGATTGCAATTCCCTGGTATCTTTCATTTTTTTCTTCTTAAGCAAAAATAACTTACTAGTAAATATTGAAAGAATCAAAATAGAAATCACTTCTGAAAATGCAAATTACTTAAACAGATGTCAGCTCCTATACATCTCAAAAAAGAGTTATAGCTATGCTAATTTAAAAAAAGTGTAAAAACAACATATACAAAAAAAAAAAATGTTTATAAAAACATTCCAAGGCCTCCCAAAGCATCCAAGTGTGATGCTTTCTAAGTATTCTGAGGAAAACTAGTTAGGACCTTAACAAGAGCTCACAGCAAGACAAGTATGTTTCTTTGTATGTCAATTACCTCTGATTTCCAGTGTGTTAAAAGGTACTGCAACTTAAAAATACGGTACATTAAGACAATGAAAGAAAACAAGATTCATTCCCATACTTTCAGTAGCTGGGATGCACTGCCTGAGTAATTTGTTTTAAAGTTTCCCCAAAAGCAGGCAAAATTTTATCTAAATAAAACATTAGAAATTCAAGACCTGGACTTCTGGTCAAGATGGCAGCAGAGGTAAAAACAGCTTACCTCCTCGCAGGACCACATCAAAATTACAACTGAATTACAAAATAACCATCAGAACCATCAAACACAGATAGGGTTGAATAGAAGTCTGACAACTATGGAATTAAAGAAACCACATTCATCCACACCGGTAGGAGGGGCAACGACATGGAACCACATCCACCTGTGGTGGATAAAAATTTGGGAGGGCTATCTCGGGAGCGAGAAGTCCCAGCCCTGCACCAGGCCCTCCAGCCCAGGGTTCCAGTGCCAAGAGGGTAAGTCCCCACAATGTCTGGCTGCAAAACCAGCAGGGACTGAGTTGGTGGAAGAAACTGCTGGAGTCCCAAGCAGCTCCTCTTAAGGAACCCACACACAGACTCACTCAGACTCACTCCTTCCGAGCTCCGGCAGCAGGCTAGCAGCTTGAAGGCACCAGTGGCATAAAGAGAGGAACTGAAGTGTCTGTCATCAAGGTGAGAGCTGGGGGACAGCTTTCACCCAGAAAAAAGGGGCAGAGGCCACTGTCCCTTTTCTGAACCCTCCCCCGACAGAGCCACAGAACCAGCAGGCCAGTGCGTATCTGAGACTCCATCAACCTGGCTAACACTGTTTGCCTCTGGAGATCCCCTGAGGCTCCATCCTGACCAACTTACAACTGTTAATAGTAGCTTCATATGGATGAATAGCTGGTCTTGGCTCATGCTTCACTACTTCCTAAATCCTCTCAAATAAGCAACAGCTGGCCTCAGTGAGCCCCAGGCCCAGCACTAGCAGCAGCCGGCCTGGATTCACAGCTTGGCTTCGCCTAGGAACCTCTAAGCCCAACACAAGTAGTTTCTCTCCCTCCCTTTCTCATTCCCTTCCCCTCTCTCTAAAAGTAAATAAATAAAAATCTCTTTTAAAAAAAGGATTTGTTAAAAAATACAAGGCCTATATTTCCAAAAATGGTATCTTTCCAGGCAAAAGAGCTTACTAAAAATCTAGTTTCCTTAATTTCATCTTTGCTGAGAAATACCATTTGACCTTATTTCCTCAAGTTCTTTCTGCAATAACTTACTAAACAATCAATGTATAGCTACAAATAGTTTTCTATGTCAAGTATTTCATTTACTATATTGAGGAAAAAAATGAAAGAACAAAATGTTGTTACTACAGTCAAGCTGTTAAATTACTAAAATCAAGTAGGGTGAGCCTGAGGAAACGCATCTGTTCCTGCTTGAATGAGCCCGGGCACTTGAATTCTTGAACTTTCCAGTCCTGCATCAGTGCCTGGACGCACATCACACCGCCAGACAACCCCCGACCACCCCCGAAGGCCTGGGGAGGAATGCTCAGTCTCCAGACCATCGGATATCCGGAGGGCTATCACCCAGAGGCTAAGAATGCAAGATTGACTCTTCTCAAGAATGTACTTCTTACTGTAAGAGGCCTCTGCTTTCTTTCTTCTTTGAAGCATTCCAGATATTGCCTGGTTGTGCTTCCAGTTTACAAGCCCTAAGACCCTTTAATAAAATCTTTATCATTTACTTCTAAAGGCTTGGGACTCTTTTTGAGTTCGTTCAACAGTGTCTTATATTCACTGACAGTCTCGCAATCCACGCATGAATAAGGAAAAGGTATTTAATAAATTCCCAAATAATGGTTCTATTTGTGATCCTTTGCCCCCACATTTCTGTAGAATATGTCATTACAAGCCTATCAGAAATTAACTGGAGCTTCTCTTTTTACAGTGATCTCAAGCGATTGTGGCTGGCTTTGTCATCACAGTGTCCACGGCTGAGCTGAGGGAAAGTTCCTGCCCTGCCAGCCCAACACGCAGGCTCGGCCCGTGGCACATGCACCTGCGCGCGCACCCCCAGCAAGGCAGCTCTCCACCAACCTCTCCGCGGCCCCCAGCTCAGCTGACCCCAGTGCTTTGCCCCTTTGGCTGCATGTATTCCTTCTGGCCCAAAGCCCAGCACTCCCAGTTTCATATCCTTTAATGTAACTTGAAGTCACAGGTTCTCTTTCTGTCCCTACCGCTGGGCTCTGTCTCTTGGTAACTCAATTCCATTTAAAGGTCTTTGATTCAGGATCCTGTCAATAGCTCACACCTCCCTCCCCTTTATTCTAATGCCTATCTACCTTTTCAAGTAGTACCCTTCCAATAAGCCCTTATTTGGGGTGCTCAGTGACTCTGGTCTCATGCAAGAAAATGAGACTTTCCCCCAAAGAAAAACTTGGTTCTTTCTCCATTTCTGAAACACCACTCAAGATCCTGTACCTTCCTTCCCTCTTCCCTAACACGCGCTCTCCACTCACGCCAGTCCGCGGTCCTTCCCGCACCCTGCTGCTCTGCCTGGGCGAGCCTCCCCCTTAGCCAGACCTCTGGCCCTCCCTGCAGGCCCAGCACCTTCTCCGCCAACCTGCGCGGACCACTCCAGCCCATGCTGGCCTGCCCGCCCTCCCCTGCACTTGCCAGACAGCTCCCCGCGCTCACGTGGCCTTACAGCCCCGGCTCCTTCAGGTTTCTGATGTTCACATCTAGCTCCTCCAGAAAGGAATGTGAGGAAGGCCTCCAGAGAGAACAGGGCTTCCCGGGCAGGTGTCCCTCAGCCTAAGAAATGAGACCCTTCATCCTCCACAAAGTCTCAGCCCGGCTGGGAGCAGCGACGTGGTTGTCACACTGGGTTCTATTACAGGTACGCCTGGCTCAGGTCAGCTCGATTGTTAGCATTTTAAACAACCAGAGCTCATATAAGAGGCTGCTGGCCCAAGCACTCCCATAGTTGAAGGGTGTTTAAGAGTCAATCAGCTTCTTGCAGTAGCTGGGCAGGTCTCACTGTAGACAGGGCCTTCAGGGACCCCAGACTGGCTGCCCAGGTAGGCCCACCAATGCAACCTGTTCTGCCCTCATGAAACAATCTTGAGAAGTCCAATTAATCCCCCTTTCACGGAGCCACCCTTTAAATGAGGACAAATACTCCCCCACAGTCCCTACTAATTTTCTTCCCTGAGTGGCCTGGCTTGCAGGTCATCCCTGTCCCATCACCCAAGATGACCTGGAGTTAAAAAGTCCTTCAAAACATGGGTCCCAGGAATTTTCAGATGGGACTGCACCTGCTGACAAAACTGCCGTCTTGCTGACCAGGCCTTAAATATTCAGGCAAAAGGAGAGAGAAGGGCTTCCCAGGTAGGAACACTCCTCTCAGCTGTGAGGCCAGGTGGAGGCGCAGGCGGACAGCGGGGAGAGGGGGAGCGCGCTCTCCGGGAGCAGCCGGGAGGCACCCTTTGGTGCGCTGCACTCCTACAGCCAACAGGCCTCAGGAAGCCACTACCTTAATCCTGAGGGATCTCCTACATCATGGGAAGCGGTGCTTACTTTGTCCAACTGAGCTTTACTACCCACCTGACTCGAACAAAGCCTACTCTGTAAATGTGGCGACAGCTGCATGTTAACATTCCATACAACATCAGACATACACACCTTCAAATATGAAGAAACACACACTCCGAAATCAAATATGAATGAGGACATGCTTTATGAGGCTTTAACCAATCATTACCTCCCCTCCAGAGTGCTCGTTCAGAGACAATGGAACAGCTCATAAAGTTATCATTGTATCTTCCCCAGGAATGCTGGAATTCTAACTAATCAATGTGTGTTATTTTGGTGAGAAGGGAAAAGGAGAGAATATTTTTAGGTAAAAAGATAGGGCTGGCTTAATGAAGAGGGAAGGCTCTTAAAGCTACAACTCACCAAGAGGAAGATGCTATTTTAAGATTTAGAGGGGAAACATCAAGTTTTTCCCTCTGACAAAAAGCAACCTAATTTAAGGACAGATAAGAAAAAATCACCAACTCAGTTGACAGAATGACTAAAAAAGTTAGGTCAAGTGCAACAGAAGCATAAACACCAGCAGAGCATGACAGAATTACATCTTTGTTCTTTGTAGACTTATTTTCTTCGCCAGTCAACAAATACTTAGCAGGCCTCTGCCGTGGGACCATCAGCGTCCTACACTCCGGGGTCTGATCGTTTGCTGAATGAGAAGCTGGCAAGCCTCGAGCTTTGGCCGCTCTCTCCCTCTTCTCATACTGGTCTGTTCCAGTTTTCCAGAAGATTCTTAAATCAGATTATCTTTGTTCTTACTGAAGGTGGTCTTTATTAAGGCGTCTCCTCAAGTTTTTTCCCCTTGAACTTAATCTAATCTTTACTGCCACCTGGTGGCAGCATCAGGCTCTGCCAGCCAAGGTATCCACAGCCATGCTTTGCATCAGTGAGGCGCCGATGACAAACCCACATCCTGGCTCTCTTTTCTTTTCTTTTTTTTTTAAAAATAATAATCCTTATTTAAAGATTTTGCCCACACTGTTGTCTAAGTGTTGGTTGTGCCTCAACATCAGCCAAGTGTCTAAAGTGCCTTTGCTCACACAGACCTTCTTTCATCAGATGCCGTTCCGTCACGGAAATAAACTTGCACTGTTCAAAATTCTCAAAGCAGTATCATTCATTCCCCTTGGCTAAGGGCCACCGTCCAAGCCCACCCCCTACCGTAACGCAGATGACAACGGACCCGGCACAACGGGGCAGCCAGCCGCCACCGGGCTCTTTCAAGCAGGTTAGGGACGGCTGGTCTCACGCAGGCTCCAAACCTCACGCGTTTCCAGGCTTTGGTTCGGAGGTTAGAGTCAATGGAGAGAACAGGGTGGTTAGCCTTCCGGCTTGATTCAGGCATCAGTCACACAGGTCAGAGAAGAGGCCACCAGAGTCACGAAGGTAATAACACAGCTTATTAGAGAAGCAGCGGGCTTACGTTCATAGTTGAATTTGTCTTTGGCTAAAGCTAAATTAAAAGTAGTTCATATTTCTTTAGCTAAAAGTAGGGTTTAAAATTAATGATGGATTGAACACCCACAGAGTAGGTATGTATAGTACACAGGGGAATGTGTGTGTATCCAAAATAAATTCACTCTAGTTCATAAAAAGCAGAGTTTAGCAGTACACTTATAGGTTGTGCCAGAAACTCAGTTCAGTAAACACATGCGCAACCACGAGGGGTTGGGCATGGGACGAGGAGCTGATCTTACAAAGACACAAAAGACACGGGCTTTATTTTCAAGGATACGTGTAACAGAGTAGGGGAAATCTAATTTCACAAATCCCCCTTCGAACACAGAGCAGTTTATTGCTCCTTAGCTGTAATTCCAGGCCCCGCTCTGCCACTCCTGGACGCCTGGTGTATAAAACTCACGGAATACCATCAACACGCTAAGCCCTATCACATTAAAAAAAGACTTCCAATTCCAATACTTTGATCTATAGGGCTCCAAGCAAATTCTGAGGTCACTGCAGAGAGTCCAGGCTCCAGGCACACACAGAAGTGCCCACTGAGCCCAAGGCAGGAGCCTGTGTCCTGTCGAGAGGCCACACGCGTCCTGAACAACCAGTGTCGCTAACACCACAGTCACACACTTTCACCTTCACTTGCATTTCATCCACCACATTTTTTCCTTTCCTTCTTTTTTTAGTATAAAACGTACTACACATTTTTAGAGGTTATATAACACATGTGTAGTTCAGAGAACACCCACCACACAGCCGGAGCTGCGGAGCGGAACCGGGGCCCACAGGGCCGTCCGACCGCCCCTCCCTGCACCGCGCCTGCGAACCACCACCCTCCTCGCCACCTTGTGGCTATGGCTGTTTATTGTAGCTCCTATCATTTCTCAGCAAGAATTTTTTAATTGAGGAGAAATGTACATATCTTTATGACATCCTGTTGATACTAAAAATTAAAATGAAGTAAAAGGAAAAATTGTACCTTTGTACATCATTGATAAGTTTTACTGACTTCCTAGGATTGATGCAATGTTAAAGATGCTGTTTTTAAGTATCATTCTTTAGGTACCTACAAATATATAATAAATCTCCAGAAAAAGGTCTACAGCTGGCCCCAGCCAGCTAGCTCAGTGGGTCAGAAGGCCATCCCAATACGCCAAGGCTGCGGGTGGATCCCCAGTCAGGGTGCACACAAGAGTCAACCAATGAATGCATACATAAGTGGAACAACTAACCAATGTTTTTTTTCCTCTCTCCCCCAATCCTCTCTCTCTCTAAAATCAGTAAATAGTAAAGTAAAATAAAAAATTTAAATAGGTCTACAGCATTGGCAATAATTCTAAATCTACTTCTAAAACAATAAAGTAATATGAAAATATTTTACCCCTTCAGAGAAAACTTTTTCACAATCCTTTGCTAGTTTTCAAAAAAAAAAATTAAACATTGATGATGTTGCTCTCTGAATTCGAATGTTCTTATTCTTATAGTCTAATTTTCAAAACTGCTGTTCTGTTTCCACTGTGAGTCAAAACAGAGAGAGCTGAAAGTTTTCCCTACGACGTATAGCAAGAAACGTACAGCAAGGTACGTTTCTTGCTATAATCACAACCTGGCTATAGGGGTCTGAAATCTATTCTGCATAATTTATTTAGTGGCTCAACTTCAGGCACCCCAATGACTGGTTATCAATTCAAGTGGCATGTCAGCTCTGCGCCCTGCTGCTGTCCAAAGCCGATGTAACCAGGGAAGCTGCTCTCTCACTGCGCACTCTAGAGCAACACTAAGAAGGGTTTGGACTGGAGCCTCTTCCTACCCATCTTTAAAGTATACCCCCGACCTCGCGTCTTTTGCTCTCCAGCTGCCGAGTGCACGTGTATTGAGGAATCACAACCCTCTGCTTTCCCAGCCTGCTGGCCCTCTGCCAACCCGCAAGCAGAAAGGAGAGGGAGAGCACCAAGAGCAGAGAGCAACGGAGAGCATGGCACACTCACCCCGACCCGCGCACGGGGCCGGCGCCCGTTTGTTGTAACTGCTTGTTTCATCTAGAACAAGACTCCCAAGACGAAGGAGCAGACAGGGAGCCCATGGAGCGGGGAACAGAGTCCCCTTCCCCTACCTCTGCCTCCACCTGCTGCTGGGTTCGGCTGTGGTTCTCCTTGTACTGGTTGGCTCTCAGGACTTGCTGCTCGATGCCCAGCAGAACCGCTTCACAGCCATCACACCTGCAAAGCAGACCCCGGTCCTGAGCCACGGTAATGCCGGGTGCTCTCCTCCCAGCTCCTTACGGGGCGGGTCTTGCGTCAGCCCTCAGCCCGGGCTCTTGCCCCTCCACTCCTTCCAAAGGACAAGCGCTTCTAAACCTACAGCTCAGGGCAACAAACATGGAGTACGTGGGGCAGCTTCTTAGAATACAGCTTTACTCTCCAACCTCTGTATCCCATGGGGAAGTTTGACACATTATGAGGTAACAGGAATCGAGAGAACTTACACTTTTCTTGAAAGAAAAAACTATTTTCTAAAAGCATCCTATTTTGAATATTGCCCCCTTTCTCAGAAGTTACTTCCTCTCACCCCCATCATTTTCTTTTCCCTACTTTTTATTTTGAAAATTTTAAACCTAAAAAATGTTGGAAGAATAGTACAGTGAATCCCCCATACCCTTCACTGAAGACTCAGTAGCTGTGAACATTTTGCCCTATTTGTGGGGCCGCTTTACATCCCAATTTTGTTTCAGACTGAACTCCAATGCCTAAACAAAGTGTTAAGAATCTATACTAACAAACCTCCTGGGACGGGGCCACCTCTGGGTGGAAACATGGTGGAGGCTAGAAACAGGAAGCCAGAATACGGATGTGAAAAATGTATCTGCCACATCAAAAACACATAGGACAGCCAACGTCAGTGGGTTGGACAGCTAGATTTTGTATGCCAGACCAATTTCATGTTAGAGGCACTTTCTAAGTTTATTTCCCATTTATTTTGCTTTAAGAGTTCCGCAATCTTTTAGAAGTTCCTGCTTTGGTCAGAGGTTATAAAGGGAAGGCGTCTGGGGTCACACCGAGGCTAGAACTGGGGGTGCGGGGTGGGCCAATAGTAGCTGAAGTGAGGAAAACTAGGGAACTTGGGGTGGGGGAAATCGTTAGACCCCAGGGGGTCAAATCTAGGTATACTCTCTTCGGGATAAGCCAGAGATTCCGACTCTTTTATAGGAAATAGTTTCTCTCCCCCTCTGCACCACGTTTGCCCTCTCTGCTTCCTGACCCCCAAACTGCCATGAGCCTGCCTGGCAACGCGCCCTCCCCACCTCCCACCATGCCCTCACCCTGGCCCTCCTTCAAAACTCAGCTAAAACCTGATCTCCCAGAAGGTCCATCTGGCTTTATAAGACCCAAACCATTTAAATAACTTCGTAACAAACCCTTATAGAACCTGAAACAGCTCTTGCAACATCAAATTCTATTAAAATAGAGTACATGCAAACATCCCACTCCTCTTTCTATACCAGAATGTTGTTTCGTTCACATAGTGTGAGTCTGTGTTCCAGCTCAGAATAACCCACTCCTTGTCTTCACTATCCCTCACAATGTTTTATAGACACTAGCCCAACGTTACTGCCGCTGAACATGGGTTCTCTCACCCGAAGAATCTTACCAACACCAACTTCCTGTGCTTGGTCAAACTCTGAGGCTGGTTTGGAAAGCACAGGGTTGGTGTCCCATAGCTGGGCTTCAGAGGCTCCGCCTGCCAACCCTGGGCGTTTTACAACCCACCGTTAAATAGCGCCCAGATGCACTAGGACAAGAACTCTTTTACCGTCGAGGCACGAGGAAGCCTGAAACGATTCCCGTTACCGCACGGCTATCGTCACAAATGTAGCCCCTCGCTCTCTGGCAAACTTCCCCCAGGCGGCCCTGGCGAGTGCCTGGAGGGGCCATATCTCCCCAGGCAGAGGCTAGATCTCCCCCTCCCTAAAGAGAAGACAGCCCTCCATCTTTCAGCCTCACCATTCATGCAAGGTCTTAACAATATTATTGATGTCCTTCTTTCGGATGTCACGGCCAATGCAGAAATCCACTTCCAGCAGCTGGTTTCGCTGGTCCAGCTTGCCCTGGATGATGTCAGTGTAGACGGCCTCGATGATAAGGTCTTCCAGTTCCCGGAGATTCCGCATCTCCAGGTCCTTCAGCAGCACGGAGTAGGGGATACACTGCAGATAAGGCCATGTGACATTTACAAAAACCACTGGCAAACATTAAAGAAATACAGGTATTACCGACATGGCCTGGCCAACAGCTGCCTCAAGGCTTTGGGAAATGCAGTGCCGTGATAATTATTAACATTTATGGCAACAAGAGATGGCTAAATAAGCTGTGAGGCCTGTGGGATGCCAACAAGACCCACAGCATCTAGGAATGCTTCTCTCAGATTCTCTGCCTCCTGGACTTTGCCCCACCTTCAGCTTTCACGCGTTGAAGCAAACTCTTTGAGGTCCTAAAAACTCTTTCCAGAAGAGAAAGGGAAATACTTGGTATATGCCACTCTGCCACTTTCTAGAAGCTTGCAGACTTTGCCTAAAATGCCAGAGCATCACAAAACTCCAAATAATCTCAGATGCTGGCGAGGAAAACTGAGGGCTTACCCGGCAGAATGCAGGCAAAAACACATGCAGGCTAACACACCCACCTACAGGTGGCCGGTAGTGCAGCCAGCTCAGAGGTCATCCTGAGGTTTACAGTTGTTCGCTCAGACTCTGCAACCACTGTCAATTCCCAAAAGCAGTCCTTTATTGGGCTATACCATCATTCTGCATGGCTCCAAGACAACTGGAAATCTAAACATCCAGTTTTCTGCAAATCCTGACACATTACTTTTAGTCTAAAAATTAACATAGTGATCAAATCTGCAGAAATTGACGGGAGGAAAATGCATACAGAGAAGAGAGTAACAGCAAACACACCTGGAGGGGTTTTCTATGACTGAAGGTCTAAAACCAGGGGGCCGTAGGTGGGCTTACAATGACAGGTTGTAGAAATGAAGGAAAAATGTACTCCTACTCTTTGCTACACTTACAAAGTCCATGATCGGGACAAAAAAACAAAAAGGTCCTTCACCTCCTAACAAAATAGGCCTCCCATCTGAAATGTCAGGCTGAGAATCAGAAGTCTGTGATTAGATCAGGTAAAGTGATTTCAGCCACTGAAATGGCAACGGAAGAACAAACACGTACCTCTGAAGCTCAATCACAGATGGAAAATGCTAAAAGCAACTTTTTCAAAGGCACAGTTGCACAAATACTTAAGACACTTAGGCTGGGACTAGGCAGAGAGCCAAACTGACTATAAATTAACCGAACCTGGATCTTCTTGTTAATGACTATGAGCAGCTATTTGCAAGGCTGCTTCTAAACTGAGTGGGGCAGAGAAGTCGGATATAGTGGAGTGACATCTCACAGAAGGTTCGGATCTAAAGCTAGCATGTAAGGCAAAAACTCCGATGAGTGTAATTAACCTTGAAAATCCTCAGAGGAAGGCAGCCTGTCAAAAATCTGCTTCTCAGTAAGTCCAACATAGCAAGTTTTTCCTTGCGCATTAGCACAGTTCACCACACACCGAGCAATAGATGAAGTGGTTAACTTGCCTAGGGATGCCCTGCTGTTTGAAAAATGCCTATCTCTAGAGAGCAGTCTCCCCTCAGAATTAGGAACACGCTCACGCCGCAGCACGCCAGGACTGGGACCTGCTGGTTCACAATCACTCCTGGGCACACTTCTCCTAAATGGGAGGGTGAGTAACTATCAACACTATTTTAATTGTCTTTTTCCCTTTTGTCCTTTGTCAAGCAAATTTTGCACATTTATGCTCTGACTCTACTCTGTGTAGCTGGGAATCCCACAACGATGCCAATGAGAGGCCTGCCTCAGGGCGAGAAGACAGGAGAGGGTGCAGGACCGTACCTTCATTCTCGACGCCAAGCTCACAATGGTAAGGTGTTTCAGCTTGTTCTGCTGCGCGGTGCTCAGCTCTGGCAGGCTCTCCTTGTTGGCTGCTCAGTCCCACCCACCACAAAAATCAAGACACAAAACAAAATTAGGTTTCTTTTGTGGAAGAAGCACACCATTTCCCCACCCCAAATCCACTGCTGAAAAACTGTCATGGCCCTGTGCTTATTCACGTGGCAAATGTCCCACAGGCACCTCCTGTCTTCTTCGGAAGACCATGTGCTTCCAAAGTCAACACTCAAGTCTCTGCACACAAGGAGCTCCTGAAAATCCAGGCATGAATACACAAAAGGATTCGACAATTATCTTAATGGAATACTATTTGTGGCCTTTGTGACATTCAATCAAATTCAGCACATTTTCACTGGGCATCTGTTATGTGTGAGACAGAACTAACAGAAGAAAGGTACAAACTACCAGAAGAGGGCAAAAAGGTGAGAAAGAGAGGGAGAGGAGGGAGGGAGAAAGGGGGAGAGAGCACTAGGGAAAGCGGGGGCGGGGGCGCGGGGAGGCGTGAGAGACAGAGAGCAAGTGAGCCCAATCCCATCAGGGAGATACGAGAGAGGGGAAAAAAAATACAGAGTCTGAAATGAGCCTTGAAGGACGGGCAAGATTTCAGTAATAGCAGCGATGCTAAGAGCAGCGAAGGCAGCAGCGGCAGGTAACAGGCAGCAAGCTGTGCTTGGCGGAGGCCCTCACACAGACCGAGATGCACACACACACTCGGTCAGTCCGCACAACAGCCCCACAAGGTAGACTCTAAAGCTTCCAGTGCCTTATTCATAATCCTGGATTCCAAAAAGGGGGATCCAAACGGATTTTCTTTCCTTGATGTGGTGCTAACATTCAGCTGGTAGCAATTCTTGACCTGAACTGAGGCGGGCTTTTTATCCCACTAGTTGTGAATATTCACGTGCTTTGCTGCAAAATTATGGCCGTTTGACTACAGGCACTGCCCACACCCCTCAAGGGTGTTACAAAGAAAGGCATATGCATCCTTTTACCTTCTGAGAGTCCCCCAAATTCTAATTCTGAAACATCCAGCCTGAGGGTGCAGGGAGAGGACCGTGGGCCTGGACCACCACACAGAAGGAAACGGAGGAGCTGAAGATTACGTAACGTGCCAGAGGGCACAACTGGTGGGAGAGGAGACTGACTGCAGCTCTGGTTCCAGAGTCTGCGCGGTGCTGCCTCTTCAGTGAGAACAGAAACAGAGGACACGCTCACTGGAACAAAGCGAAAGCCAGAAAAAACCTGGCAAGTGGCAAACTGTCCAGTCTGACAGCAGCAAAAAGTAGAAGTGACCAGCAAGGAGGACAGCGAGAAAGAGGGGAAACCAGGGGTATAGTAGAGAAGGCCCTGAGTCACGCCGCTAAAATAAACTACAAGGCTTTTGTCAGGCCACTAAAATAAACCAGGGAAGCTGAGCAAACAAGGCTTGAGTGGAAGGTAAGTTAGCGTTTGGACATGCTATTTATGAGTCTAATTTTAAATGACTCCAATGACCTGCAAAAGAGAATGGACTAAGTAGATTACGGAGTATTAGATTATGGAATAGTAAAAATGAATACATAAGACTTAACACATGGATAAATGCCTATGAAATAAGTGGGAAAAAGCAAGATAGAAAACTGTATACATAATCTAATTATACCTACAGAACGAAAAACCCAAGCAGACGGGAAAATCCAGCCCCATAATGCTAACAGCAGTTTAATGCTGGTACAACTGAGAGTGACTTTTTCCCCCTATTTTCCAAAGTTTCTTCAATACAGTATAGCGGTATTATTTCGACACTATTTACAATGCTTACATACTTTACGAGCGGGCACCCTGACATTTCACCGCACTCCAAGTGTTCTACAAACACCGGCTCCCAAGACTCTCGCCTGGACACCAGGCAGGGGCTCGATTTACGGAGGAGCACACACAGGCCCCGCCCCACACACTGGGAAGTAAAAGGTGAGAGGGGAGAGTCACAGGTGAGACCGCCTACAGGGCGCAGTGGGATGCGAAGGAGCCAGGTCAAGAAGGCCCCGCCCCATGCTTTACATCCCAAACCTGAGCAATCCTCGTGGAGGCAACACGTCTGAACCGAGGGGCGTAATTAAGAAGGGTCTTTGGAGGACCTTAACCAACTCACCTATATAATCTGGGTATGTTCCGTACGCAAACAGGTTCAGCAACTGCAGGTAAGCTGCATTAGCTCCTTCTGCCAGCTGAGGAGGAAAAGAAAGAGTTCACAGGCCAAGCTGTCTACCAATCACTGCAGTGTTCAAGCAGAGGGTGGGTGACCATGTGCCACAGTCCTGTCCTGTTTTATTAGCTGGTCCCTTCCAACACTTTCATTCTTTGGGAAAAAATAAGGAAGATTATTAAAGCCCCAAATTTAACTCTTCTCTCAGGAATACATGTTTTATGCTCCATACAGCATGCCCTGGCGACGACTTTTGCTTCCACATGTGCAAAAAAAACAGTAAATATTTGAAGCAGTTCAAGTTTTCTCAAGATTCCCTTGCCACTAAAATGAACACTGGAGCCGCCTTGTCCACACCCCAGACTGGCAGATACAGCACGAGCCACTAGCAATCCAAACTGAACAATTTAAGCATGAGGCTGATTCCACGTTTCATAACTCTATGTGGACTGTGACGCTGGGAGAGAGTAGCATAGCATTAAGGTGCAACAGAAGTGCTAGGTTGGGATAGAAAGCCAGGGTATCAGGCTATCCCAAATAAAAATTTTCATTAAAATTACCCATTCCTGCCCTGGCTGGTGTGGCTCAGTGGACTGAGCACCGGCCTGCCAACGGGAGGGTCATGGGTTTGATTCCCCGTCGGGCCCCAGGCCTGGACTGCAGGCCAGGCCCCCAGCTGGGTGTGTGCAAGAGGCAGCGGATTCATGTTCCTTTCACACATTGATGTTTCTCTCCCTCCCTTTCTCCCTCCCTTCCCCTCTCTCTGAAAATAAATAAATAAAATCTTTTTTTAAAAAAAATTACCTAACACTGGTGTCAAAGAGCTATCTGCAGAAGAAAATCGAAAAAAGATACTGTTCTGCCTGAACCGCTCGCTCTACTCTCAATTATCTTACATGGGTGTTTTTTACTCACAAAAATGGACCCATTGCTCTGCCAATTTACCAACTCAGTAAAATCTCAACAGGAATACCCAAGTTATTCTGTGGACACCAATGGTAATACTACTCAATTTTATCTTTTTAAAAAAAGTTCCAAGAACTACATCTGTAATTTCAGACGACAGAAAGGCAACTAAGCTTATTCCCAGCTCGCAAACGGAAAAAACAAACTGTGGGGAGATGTAGTTGATTTGCTAAGCACCCCACTGAGAGCAGGCATCCGAACACCCCAGGCGACCTTCTCAGGTTTATCAACAACCTCCTGAAGTTCTGAGTCAGAAGTAGATGAGACCGTCAAATCTAGCCCCCATTTTTCAGACAGATATTTATAAAACTAGCTGTAACAGACTATTTTCTCTAAAGCGGATACTCCAGAACTTTTCCCACTGGCCCAAATCAATAAAGTCCTTCTGGCTTTAATATTCATCTATCGCCTCTTAGCTAATCTCATAATTACAAAACAACCAGTTGGCATATTCTTCCAGGCTTTTCATGAACCTGAAGGAACATATTACCCTTTATTCATCTTTTCTGTTGAAATGATTCGCTATCAAGCCATGAAAAGACATAGAGGAAATTTAAATGCATGTTACTAAGTGAAAGAAGCCAATCTAAAAAGGCTACGTACTGTAGGATTCCATCTGTAACAGAATGGAAAAGTCAAAACTACAAAGAGAGAAAATCAGCGGTTGCCATGGGTTAGATGGATGGAAGGGAGGGATAAATACGTAAAACACGGAGGATTTTTAGAGCAGTGAAACTACTCTGTATGATACTGTACTAGTGAATAGAAGTCATTAGGCCTTTGTTCAACCCCACAGACTATACAACACCACGAGGGAACCCACGGTGAATTACAAACTTTGGGTGGTGACGAGGTGTCAGAGCAGGTTCCATGCTGGTGAGGGGTACTGGTAATGGGGGAGGCTATGCATGTGTGAGCGGAGGGGTTATATGGTAAATCTCTGCTTCCAATTTTGCTGTGACAGTAAAACTGCACTAAAAAATAAAGTCTATTTTAAAGAGAACCCAGTTCTCTTCAATTTTCCTCACCGCATTCCTTTTCCATCTCTGATATGTTAAATTTGGCCTGAAAGCCCACCGTGTGTCAGTCTACACATTAAGCTCTAAGGAAACATCGTGAACACAACACAGCATACAGTCTAGGAAACAAAACTGATACTAAACAAAAGTTCAGAGTTGGGGGAAAAAATGGGGACAACTGTAATTGCACAACAAAAAAATTTTTTTTTAAAGCCCACAATTAAAAAATAAAAGCAGCTCTTTCAGTCACGGGGTGCTGCAAGGCGAAGAGAGGATGCCATGTCCTCGCATCTGCAATGGATGGTCACGGGGAGCTGCTTCAGTCTCCTGAGCAAGAGGAATGAGCAGATGCGCAGCCGCAGGCCTGCAACTCCTACTAGAGTGGGTGATTTACCACAGAGCTGCGGGCGTGGAGCCAGCATCCAACAGCAAAGGTGGCCTAGTAGTCGTGAAGTGATGGACCAGCCAACGAAAGCCAACCACCTGCTCTGTGTGGGCCACCAACAACAAGAACGCCAGGCCACCCTCAGCAGCGTCATGCACACGACCCACAAGAACTAGTACCGCCTGGATTCGCAGGTGAAAGCCATTCGCAGGGCCAGCACCATCCTGGCAGCCAGAAAGAAGCGGTGATGGGAAAAAGGAAGCCGACACACCCCACCAAGAGCGCCTGGACGCAACCCCCAAAGTGATAAAAATGTCGCCAGATCGCTATCTCAATCAATAAATATAAAAGTATCAGTCAATGAGTAAATACAGTCATTTTGCATATCCAGATTTCACACTGGTGATTCAACTACTCATGAATCAAAAACATTTGGAAAACAATCCCAGGAAGTTCCAATAAGCAGACCCTGAATTAGCCACGCACAAACACTATGCGGAACCCACGGGAATGATGTGACGTGTAGAAACACCCTGCCATTTATGCAAACACTATGCTACTTCACATAGGAGACTTGAGCATCAGAGCGGGATCCTAGAACCCATCTCCTACGGATAGTGAGGGATAAATATACAAAAACACCCAGAGGGGGAAGGAGAGGTTGAGAAGTAGAGGTTGCTTTATATCTCTTTATTCCACCTGGTCATTCTTCACTGCATCATCTCATTTTCAAGGCACAACCACCAAAATGGATACCACGGTATTAATAATTACAATCAAACAAAGAAGAAAACAAAGCAAAAAGGACTACTTTCCGGCTTGTCAGTCACACCCTTTTCACACACCTGCTTTACACACCGCACAGCACTGGCCCTTTCCGCAGGAACAACACACCCCTCCGCGTGCCCATCGCAGGGGCGACAGCAGCGTTCTCCGCGCCTAGGCGCCTGACCGGCCTTCCTGGCCGGTGTCTGCACTGGAGGGCTTTGTCCCTAAGAATGCCTGAAACTACCCATTAAACATCCCTCCATGCTTATTATACTCTACGTTTCTAACTTACTAGGTTCAACTAAATTTTTCTCTATCTTTCAATGAGCAACCCAATCTCGTCATACCTCCAGTTCAGATGAAAATGCTGACTAGAAGGAGCCCAGGACTTTGTCCGTGCTGTCTTCCCCTGCCCCACCAATCCCCATCCCTCCCTCAACAGGGCACCTCACAGGTCTGCGCTGCTGTGGCACTGAAGTTCCGTGGACACCTGGAGACTCAAAGGAAGGCTTAGAGCACAGAAGATAAAGAAATTGTTCAGAAACCGCCCTTACCTCCTGCACATTGGCCAGCTCCAGCAGTTCTCCAAAGACATACACTCCAGGCGCCTCCAAGACTTGGCTTATGAGGGCAGTGAGGGCTGAGCCGCTAGTGCCTTTGGCTAGTAAAATAAACTGTTCCAGGAGGTTACTTGAGGGTTTCTGTTCACCTGCCATTCTCTGGCCTTAAGATCTGTCCAAAAGAAAAGTGTTCCCATCATTTTTCCTTCTCCTTTGCATAGTCTATGCTTATTTAACGCTGAATCAGATATCAGAATAATTTTATAGTATTAAAAAAGAAAAACCAGTTCCTGAGTACAGGGGCTGTGACCACTTTGTGAGATGGGTAGGGTTTAGCCTGGAGTTAAAGAAGTTCTGTTCTTATTCCGAGGTTTGAAACACACTTGGTAAAACCCAATTAATCCCCATCTGACCCCTTTCCAAAGGCAGCATGTTCTAAGCCCATAAACCTAACTAGGACCTAAAGAAACACACAGGAATTCCTCAGTAGCCGTTTTATATCCACCTCTTTTACAGACTCTAGTTAAGAAAAAGAGAATCTTGCCCATACAGAGGTGGCAGATGTACGCAAAAGCAATCAGCTGCAGCTTCCAGTGTGTCTTAAGACTCCCACCTGCAGCCAGGTACAGACAAGAAAAAGACAAAAAAAAAAAAAAAAAAAAAAAAGACAAGAAAGATGTCTCATTTAATCAAAGAGGTCATTTAAGGATAGAAAAAGAGGGGAAATCACCTTGAAAGATAAGCAGCAACATATTCAAACTAAGAAAATACATGATATGTAAGTTCCGGAAAAACATCCCTCAATTTGGCCTCCAACTGAGAAGTGACATTTTACCAAACGTGATTTGAGGATTTATATAAATCCTCAAGAAAACAATACAAAGATCTGAGAAAACAATGAAGACACTGTATTGCCAACCTGAAGACATTAGGGACAGGAAGTCCCTCAACTGCATAATCTAATCACATGCTGAGTGTATGTGGACACACCACACTGCGAACTTACTGTACAGGAATCCTACATAAGAAAAGATTACTCCTCCAAGAATGATACATATCGGAGCAGTACAACAAAATAAAGGGGAAAAATTACTGTAAGCTGAAGCACAGGACAATTCAAAGAAGGAAGGTTTGGTCCAGGGGAAACTAAGTTTTCCTGGGGAGGCAAGCACACAGGACTACAGCCCTTTTACGGTATTAAGAGAAACATGTATGTAGTCTCACTTAGGGTTACTACAGTCTTGTCGGAAACAGAAAAAGTGAAGTGGCACGGAATAAAGGTTATTGAGAAGGGACGAAGTAAGAGGAGAGAGAAGAGGATGGGAGGAAAAAGGGGGAGATGAAACGAAAGCCTCCCTTCCAAGTGGACACATGTGAACAGATTGAATGGAAGGGCCTGGGGTGGCGAGGCATTAGACAAACGTACAGAAATTTCGGTCTCTCAAAAAAAAAAAATCTCAGCGTAAAGAGCAAAGCCCGTAGAGGGAAAGAGATGAGAAGGCGCTGATGATAATCGCTTTCTTCTGGAGTGGGAGGGCCCGAGGAGGCTGGAGGCACAGGGGTGATGAATTCCCGTCGTGGGGGGCGCTATTCTGATGGATAGCAGAGGGGCAAAGAGGCAGCCTTTGGGGGTGGGGAAGCGAGAGCAGCCGCAGTGCGGGAGCTGAGGGTCTCAGGCTAAGATGGACTTCAGCGGGGGCGGACCGGCGGCGTGCTCCGGACTGGACCGCGGGTGCGGAGTGCGGAGCCGCGGGGCGCGCTCCCCGGGGCGGGGGCGGGGCGGGACGGCCGCGGGCTCTCCGGGCGGCGGGCGCGAAACCGGACAGTTCCGACGAACCTGTCTGGCCGGGTCCCACCTTCTCGCTGGCCCCTACCTGTCCTCGCCGCCTCTCCGTCCTCTAGGTCGCTGTCTCGGCCTCCCGGCGCCTGCCCGCAGGTTGTCAAGCGTCCATGATCGGCCCGGCGTCCGACGCTTTTCCAACTCCGCCGACCCGTCGGCCTTACCGCTCCCCCAGAAGCCTCCCGCTGCTGCATTCGAGTTCCGCCCAGACTAGGTTCCTCTCGCTGTGTCACAGCCTCACACCTCCACCGGGGTCCGGCCTGGAGAAGGGGTCCCTGTCGGACTGTAGCCCAGGAATCGGAGTGGGCAGAGGCCACAGAGAGGGAACACAGCCTAGGCGGTACTAGGGCCCAAACTATAACCATCCTGGACCTGAAATCCATCCCTTCGGCAGAGCTTTACCCCCTAGGAGCTCCCTATGGCAACTGTACCTACCCTAGGGTATGGAGACATACAGTAAGCCTAATAACAACGACTGTTTATTAAACGTTTTTGCATGTGCCAAGCGCTTTACATTGTCTCGCTGAATTCTCATAACTCTATGGCCTGTAATATTATCCACATTTTTCAGGTGAATTAACGAAGCATAAAAATCCAAAAGCCAGTAAGTAGCAAAGTCCGCTTTGGAACAGGCTATCTGAGGCCGACGACCATGTTCTTGACGTCACTTCAAGTTTTTAAAATAAGCACTGTTGGGTGGAGCCAACAATGCCTCTGTGACCAAAATGACATTTGTGGCTGCATTTGGAACATACCAACTCTCCAGTAAGATGGCCAAGGAATGACTACATAACTGATCACTTAAGCTGACTCCTTTGAAGTACAGTATACAACACAGACGTTCGGATCCTGAGGACGAGGAAAAGACCTGTATTTGCCTCTTGTGCCTTAGAGTGCAGAAGTCAGAACAGAAGCAAAGGAGCCTAACGCCAACCCGCTGATTTATTTTAAAAAATGTCTTTAGCATCTATTATGTTCTAGAAGGTTATGTTAAGAAAAAACAAGGTTCTTGCCCTCAAAAAGCTTGCATGTATTGAGTGCTATGAGAGACAACACTTTGGAAGCACCAGAGAGAGTATGTTGGGGAAGAAAAAACAGGTATCTTCCAGGCAAAAGGGGGCAGGAAAAGGGGGCAGTGACTATTGCACTGTGCAACACGTAACTGATGCAGAAAAGATACCCAGAGCGGCTGGAACCAGGTTTCAAAAATGAGGGCTACGGAGCTGGGGTCGGGTCATCCAGGGCCCAGGAAACCACCGGCCTGGCACTATTCCCAGTAAATACCTAAGTACAGCAAAGTTCCTACTTGGGGGAGCTCACTGCCCCCTGGGAGAGATAGGTCTATCTGGCTATGACAGACGGTTGCCACAGGTACCTAGGAGCACAGGCTAAGGCTCTCCCTGGGAAGAGGTGATTTAAGGCAGGCTTCTGGAGGAGGTTAGGCTTGAGGTGAGCCTGAAAGAATAAGCAAATGAATCACAAAGGGTGTAAGCCATATAACGGAGTTTTTCTTTTACCTTAAGGGCGCGGAGGGGCAAGTTAGGGTTTTTAAGGTGTGGAGAGGTATGAAAATTTGCCATTTTAGATTGATCCCACCAGCCACTACAGGAATGAACTGGATGTGGAGAGAACTGGAGCAGGGGAACCCTTGAAGTGACTTGCTATATTCCCGAGGAGGGACTGTGAGCTCTGGAACAAAGGTAGTGGCATCTGGGCATGTAAAAGAAAAAATGTTGTTGGAGACATTTAGACCATAGAAGCTATCATACTTGTGACCAGCTGAAGGCAGAGAAAGGGAAGGAGGCTATCACCCAGGATTCCAGCTGGGGAAGGCACAGCTGTCTGGCGGGGGTGGTAAGTGAAGAGGGCTGCGGAGAGGAGGGGCAAATCTGGTGAAAGGAGGACAGCTAATTCTGTTTGAGTTCATAAATATTCTGGCAGTGCCTCCACTTCCTCCAGAACAATGTCCAGACTCCAAGGCTGCAGCTAAAGCCTTTTGTAGTATGCCTCCCGCCTACCCTCCCAGCTTTGTCTTGCCTCACCCTCTTTACAGCCTAAACTCCAGGCTTTCCCAAGCCCAACACAATTTACACCCTCCCTCACTCACAGCAGGGCCTCATCCTTGCTCTATCTACTTTGTAAATCTCTTCCTTCGTATTTCCTATCAACAACACCCCGAATCCAAAATGGCGTCAGTAGTACCATTGAAGGAGAAGCTCAATGGTGTCAAAATAGAGGAGCTGCCAAGCTGGATACCAATGCAGGATTTCATCCCTAAAAGCACTGCTGAATCATTTCAAAAAGGTTACTACCAGTATTACAACAAGTATGTCAATGTGAACAAAGGGAGCGTTGCTGGGGTATCGATGGTGCTGACAGGTTATGTGCTTTTCAACTACTAACATTCTTATAAGGACTCAGACGTGAGCATGATGCAAGTACCACGAAAGAGGGCCCAGTGTGGACTCCGCATTCTTGACCATGACCTTTGCCCATAACCTGAGAATCCTTTCATATAGGACTCAATAAACGATGACGGATTTAAATAAATAAATAAATAAATAAATAAAACCCTACTGATCCTGTACACAACGATTGCTTAAACTCTATGCAAAAAAGCACAAATCATAAAAGAAAACACAACTATTGCATTGGAATTAAGAATTAAGAATTTCTGTGTGTCAAAAGACATCAGTAAGAACAGTGAAAAAACAAGCCACAGACTTGGAAAGGATATTTGCAAGCATATATCAGACAAAGAACTCCATATCCAGGCTATAAAAAGAACTATGAATCAGTAAGAAGATAAACAGACCAGTTTAAAAAAAAAAGTAAACAAAAGACTTGAACAAGCATTTCACAGAAGAGGACATTCAAATAGCAAAAAAGCACATGGAAAGGCCCTCAACACCAGAGATGAGGTAAATAAGAACTGTATGTTATGAGATGCTATATTTAGCCAAAATGGCTAGAAATAAGACTGACAACACCCGGTATTGACAAGGATAAGAGTCAACCAGAACTCTTACATTGCTGGTTGAAGGTGAAAATTGGCACAAACACTTGCCAGACTGGCATTATCTACTATTGCTGATCACGTGCACACCATACAAGCCAGCAGCTCCTCTCCTAGAAATGAATTCACAAATCCGCCTAAAAAAAACATAAGAATACTCACTGCAGATTTGTTAATAAAGCCAAAAATTGATAACCTAAATGTCCATCAACAGTAGAACACATAAACAGTGCTATATACATACAGTGGAATACTACTCAGCAATTAAAAAGAAACAACTGCTACATATATATGGATGAGTCTCACAAAAAATACCGATGAATGAAAAAAGCCAGGCTCATACGGTATGATATTTAAATGAAATTCAAAAACGGATAAAACGGATCTATGTTAACAGAAGTCAGAGGAGTGGTTATCAGGATGGAGGGATGCAGTACTGATTGGGAGGAGGCACAAGGGGTGCTGGAATAGTTCTATACTTTGATTTGAGGGGTGGTGGCACAGGTGTACACAAATGCAAAAACTGAGCCCTTACTGTATGTAAAAAATTTAAAGATAAACTTGTTAACAGAAAAAGAAAGATCCTATCCATCCTTCAAGTTCAAATGCCACCTCCTCTATCAAGTTTTGCAGCTGGAATATATCTCTTCATTAGGGCCTCTGTAGCATTCTGATGTCCTTTCCTGTATGCCATTTATAACAGTCCATCTTGAATCTCAGTGGATTCTCCTTATTTCCCTAACTAGATGTTTATCTTCCTGGTGACAGTGACCATGTCTTTCACTGACAGAAAGTCTGGCAAATAAGGAAAGCTGAGAAAACTGTGCGTTGAATTACATGAAAGGAAAAATTGGGTGGGTGCACACACGGGTGAACGGCGGACAAAAAGAGGAAGGAAAGCTAGGAAAACCCATACGAGATCTCCAAGGAAGCCTTGGCTTACACTACAATTTTACCTACTTCCTGAAATCACATTAAATGTCACCTTGAGCAACAAAGAATGAATCAAAACACCAAGTCCTAGCCAAGAGTGAAGATAAACAAACACCACGCTTACAGGAAATCCACCAAATAAATGCTTACCTAACCTGGGTGTTCCAACCTGGATGGAGAAATTTCACCAGGGAGAATAATAATCACCCAGCCATGCTGCTAAAAATATCGCCAGCTTAATGTGCAAAGAGCCCAAACTGCAGGTCAGGAGCCTTAGGGCCTAATTCTAACTCTGCCCCAACTTCCTGTGACCGGTGGACAATGTCTTCGCCTCTGTGGGCCTGAGTCTCCTCATATGTAAAGCAGGGTTCGGATTAGCAAATTCTCTAAAGTCCCTTCCTGTATTGATATTCTGGGTATACGATCGCTCGCTCGCTCTCTCAGTCCAGCGCAGCAGCACAATAGAAACCCCCGCAAAACACATAAAAGACGCCCCTGACCAACAAACCAGCATGACTTGAAGGAGTCATTTTGCTACATTATCTTTCACGGTTTAATCAGTGTTTTTGTTCGTTTGCAGCCTTACCATGATTTGCAGGAGATTTCTGAGTTCCATGTAAACAGAAGTTACCTCTCTGTTGGGCTGTCATCTTCTTTGAGAGTGAAGAGGGTCTTCCCGCCTGGTTTCAACTCTCGGGATTCAGAAACCACCAAACCTGAAGGAGGGTTTAAGAATTTGCGCACACTGCGCGGCACACTGAAGTCTAAGTTACAGAGGAATAAGGTTTATGGAATGCTGGGATTTGTAGTCCCTGGGCCTCTTTGTTGCGCGCTGGGATCTGTGAGTCCCCGGTAACCCCCTGGAATGCTGGGAAATGTAGTCTCGGCCACATCGCACAGTGCGACCTGCAGTCATCTCCGAGCCCTAGTATGCCTAGCGGAGGAAGCGGGCCCACGGAGCCTCTGCAGATTTAAAGCCAACCCTCCGCGGGGGCAAACTCTAGGCAACAGCAACGAATGAAAAATTTGTCCTACGGGACTTCCCGGGGCGGGCCCTTCTCATCGGCTCTCTTCGTCCCCTTGCGAAGCCGCTGAGTGTTTCTATTGGTTGATCAGGATGCCAATCGCAGAGCCGGGCTTTCTATTGGCTTCGGGGCGGGCACTCCGAGGCTAGGGGGAAGGAGAAGGGATCAGGAGCGGGAGCTGAGGGGAGGGAGAAACCGGTCCGGGTCTGGCCGCTGCCGCTGCTCGCCCGAGGTCTCCAGGCCGGGCTGCGCCTCAGTCGTCGGCTCCGGAGCATCGTCTGCGAAGCTCCGCCGGGCCAGCGTGGGAGAGCCGCGGGCGGCGGCTGCCGCATCATGTCAGCCAAGGACGAGCGTGCCCGGGAGATCCTGAGGGGCTTCAAACTGTATCCGCCCGGGAGCGGGGCGGGGCCGGGAGGACTTGGGAGGTGGCGGCTCGCTGAGGAGACGGGCCGGGGACGGGGGCCGCGCCAGGTGGGCACCCGAGGAGAGGCGGCGGGGAGGAAAGAAACGGCATCCCGCGTCCCTGACGGGACCCGGCGCTGGAGGCGGGGAAAGGGGCACCCTGAGGGAGGACGGGGACGTTGACGGGAGCCCCGGGGGCGTGGAGGCGGGGGAGCCCTGGGATTGCTCTGGAAGAGACGCCGGACGTCGGAAACGGGTGTCGGGGAAGCCACCCTGGGTCCGAGCTCCGGCCCGCCCCCAGAGGCCGGGAAGGCGCTGCAGCCCGCAGGGAAGGGCCGAGGGGGCGCGGTGGGCTGGCCTCGAAGCGCAGCAGCCTCTTTGGCGGGAAGTCTGCCGGGGGCGCAGGGCACAGTGACTTGGAGCGAGGGACCTTGTGTGGGCCAAATGCAAATGCTTCTGTTAAAGTCTCTTGGGCTCCCGCATCCCACGCCACCCCCGTCTTGTTTCCACAACTTCTCCTCACTTGTGGCTCCTTCCAGGGATGGAGCAGAGGAAACGGGGAAGAGAGGTCCGAGACCGCCCTCCTCGTAACTGTCTTGGCCTTGCGAGGCATTGGACGGTGCTGCTTCTCCCTCCGCTCCTCGGTTTTCTTCGCAGCGCAAAGAGAACCATGCACTTGTGCCCGAGGTGCCTTGAGGCGTGTCGGGCTTGCGCCGGGACGCCGGGCCCAGAGCTCCTGGCTCGCTCCCGGGTGTGCGGGTGGCGCGTCGACGCGGAGGAGCTGTCCAGCAATCCCGGGATTACGTCGGGGACACGGTAGGGCGCGCGGGGGTAGGCGCTGGGAATCCCTGCCTCGGGCCTCCTCGGGGGCGGCTTGTGCAGCCTCCTGTCCTTGGTGCCGTGAGGAAGCTTTGCTTTTTAACGGGGTGATAATCCGTACCCATGGAATGCGGATAAAAAATATGCAGTCTTGTGCATTCCAATTTTACGTCTTCCTGCTGACCTTAATCTCTTCTTACACGCTATGCTTACAAAATGGAGCATTCTCGAATTCCTCTCTCGGTGGAAACGGACTCACGCCTGCCTGTAGGGCTCCTCCCCTGGAGGCTTAGTCAGGCACCGTCCTCTGAGCGGTGTGTTTTCACAGTGCCCATTTCAGCCCTGCAAATCTTAGTGGCTCTGTCACACTCAGGAACCAAGTTGGTGGTCAATTTTAGCAGACAAATGCAAAAAAAGTTACAGGATATTTTGCATGGACAAATGAAGTTTACCCAGTGGAAGCTGCCCTGCTATGCTCGGTTGAGGGAACGGAAGGCATCATCACCTTGGCATACCACCATTCGTGATAAACTTCAGTAGTTTCAGGTGGTGAAGTTTAGGAACCGCCTCTTTTATGGCTCCATGTACCTTTCCATATTTCCCCACATAATGGCACCTGTAAGTAGAATAGAACGGCTGAAGTGTTAGAAAAGCTATGATGTGGATTTTGTTTTTTCCTCAGGTACCTTATATTGTTACTTAACCTGTATACTGTAGACAGTAAACCACAGGCTACGGAGAATCCTATGGTTTCAGAAGCAGTATTTTTGTCGGATTGGAATTAACATGTTGCTGAAAACAAGGAGGGGTCTTTTTAATGGCTTTTGGACATAGCAGAAAGGGAACGTTTGAGCTTTCGCCTTCAGTCTAGGCCCTTGAACCTACTTGGGAAAGAGGCTAAGAGACAAACATGGAAAACAGTAGAAAGCAGAACTTCTGTCAGCCCTCTAGAAGGGGAGGTTCAGTAACCACCTCAGTGAGGATGTTAGTGGGCCAAGAAACAGACTTTCAGGGAAAGTTTGATCTGGGATGATTAAATCACAAAGGAAGCAGCCACATTAAAAAAAGCTGGCCTGGGAGCAATGGAGTGTTCATCTCCTGGTAGCTTTTATTGCCATCTGAGAATTAAGAGAGGAAAGGAAGGGAGTTCTAGGATTTGCTGCTACCTTCCAGAAAAATAAAATTAATGTTATATTAAGAAACTATTGTCCACCTTTTTTTGGGTAAGTTGTTGGGTAAACTGTTTCCTAAGCTTTCTTTTAGAATGTCTGTTTCTATAATAATTGTTTTTACTACAATTTTGCCATTATGTTCCACCAAAAGTACTGACAGCACTCATTTTCCACACTGACTATGTTGGTCTTTTTTGTTTTGGCCAGTTTGGACAACAAATGGTAGTTGGTTTTAGTTAGTGTTTCCCTGGGTCCCTGGATCCCTGGGGAGGTACTCTAGCATAGTGGTTAAGAGCTATACTGGTATGTAGAGCTACGCTGCCCGCGTTAGAATCCCCGCCTTGCACGCCTGGTTTTGTGTCCTGAGCAACTTCTTTGATGGCTGCCTCAATTTCCTCATCTGTGAATGGGGATAAAAATAGTACCTATCTCACAGGGTTGTTGTGACCCTGGGCAGAGCACTCAAATTATAAAACTCCGTGCCCACATCATTCCCTCAGAGGGTTGTTAGGAGGATTAAACGAAACTGCATATAAAATGCTTAGTACAGTATCTGGCACATAGTAAGTAATAAATGTTAACTGCTGTTATTATTTGTTGTATTATTAATAATAACAGTAGAGATAATATTATTATAAAGCCACTTATAATAACATGTCTTCATGTTATTCTCTTATTGAGAAAAACTAATATTTCTGTTGCACATCTTTGAAGAAATGGTTCAGTTAATAAGCACTGATGTATACCTAGTGTGTATCTTGTTTTCTGGGAATTAATCACATTTTACTGTGTGACCAAAAGAGAAGTAGTTCAGCTCAGAAGTTTTCTGATAGCACCTTTCACTTGTGTTCTTGCATTTCCTCTCTATAGTTTTACCCGGGATCCCCAGTAGCCTCTTTGTCATAGTACCTTGACCTTTGACTTTACTTCCAGTCAAAAATAGTCAGCTTTACATCTTCTATTCACTTAAATTTCCTTATAAGAATAGTACACTGTTGAACTTTTCTTGAATGTCATTAATGCCTAATAAATGCCTTGGTCAAGTGTTATAAATGAGTTTGAGGTTTATGATTTCCTAAAATATAGTTTTTGTCTTATCAACCCAAGTTCTGGAAAAGCAACCAGAATATACCACCTATACAGCCACTGAACATTGCTGGTCACAGATTGTCCAGTCATGGACTTCATGCAGATTGTGACTGGTAGTTTGTTTTCCAGGACACTCATGCATGGACTCAGAGAAGTTGTCACTGTTACCCTGAATGGATTAAATGAATATAATGTCCCATTGACTGTGTTATTTAGGATTTTTAAACAGGCATTCCTGCTTTCGCTTTTTTGGGAGGGATTTAGGGTATAATTTGATACTTACAGTCTTCTTCAGACCTTCTAAATTTCTTTTGTGTATCTGCTTTATGGTAAAATATAGTAGCTTCTGGAGATACGGAACAGAACATGGTAAGACTCTCATGGAAAATTCTGGTTATGTCATCACTGTATTTGATAAAGGGCTAGTAATGGTGCTGCAGTTATTATTAGTCATGACCTCACTTTTGCCTCACAGGCCTCTCTTGCCATTACTCTGCATCCACAAATCCCAATGATAGAGAAGGACTTGACTTTGGAATGTGTAGATCTGCCATTATTCCTGAGCTTTAGCATCATAGGAAGGCGATGCTAAACAGCCACCTTATCTAATAATCTGACTGTTCCAACCATTGCTTGAATGCTTAAAATTCAAATTGTCAAGATTTTAAGAGCAGCATTCTTCTTTTGTTTTTGACCTGCTGGTAATTTTGAAGCTGAGAGAAACAGCATACATATTTTTTCTACAGTTCGTTATCCATAAAGATCTCAGTGGATTGGACTAAAGAAGCACACTGTTTATGGCAAAGAAGGTGACAATCCCTTTTTAAGAATACACATGAGGATCTTGTTTAGTGTACAGCTAAGTGGCCCTGGTCCAGGAGAGAGGGACTTGAAATGTGCCATATGTTCAATAGTTGGAGAACTGAGAAGTTTTAACCTAAAGATGAAGAACTGGGCAAGGGACATGAGTGTTCTAAAGTTTAAAATAACCATTCTAAAGAAGAATTAAATATGTTCTGTATGGCTCTCAGAGAAATAGAAGACTCAACTGTAGCAGTTACAGGGGACAGAGTTTATTTAGCCCAACTTCTAACAGAGTTACTGCAAAAAACCTACATTTCCCAAGAAGGTATTTTAAGCAGCAGATGGACGCCTGTTTCAAGAGTATTGCAGAGGGAAATTGTGTGTGCATCAGTTAAGGTAGTAGAGTAGATGATCTTCAGAGAACTCAAATCCTTTTCTAAAACTGCAGTTCTTTGATTTGGTGACAACCTTTCTTGGTTAACAAGAATTCTTTTCAGCAAGTATTTCGGTTGAGATATGTACTACACCTAAACAAGGCAAACCATTTTCTGTGATTTGATGTAATTAAAGCAAGCTATTTCCTTTTTGTTTTTCAGACCACTCTTAGATACTTTTTAAAAAGATTTTTTTATTTATTTTTAGAGAGAGGGGAAGGGAGGGAGATAGAGAGGGAGAGAAACATCAATGTGTGAGACAGACATCAGAGACATCTATCAGTTGCCTCTCGCACGCCCCCAAATGAGCACCTGGCCAGCAACCCATGTATGTGCCCTGTCTGGGAATCAAACCTGCAACCTTTCAGTTTCCAGGCCTGTGCTCAATCCACTGAGCCACACCAGCAAGGGTTTAGATACTATTGATGAAGTGTTTTAATACATTGTGGATCCACTGATTCAGAATCACAGAGAGCAAGTATTGCCTCCAAATTTAGATAGTGTACAAAACTAAATATAAATAGCTCTAATGTAAATAATAATTAGATATAGCTGCAAGTAGAAACAACTTTTATTCCTATAGTCTTTCAGTTTTTCGAAGCACTTTATACATTATCACAACTCTATACATTGTTATCCTCACTTTATAGAGAGAAAATTAAG